TTTTTTTTTTTTTTAATATGTCATTAATTATAATTATTATATTATTATTGATTTATACTATTCTACATTTACTAATTGTTAATATTATGCACTGTATTGTGAAGCATGAAATGTATTGTAATCAAAATTATTATTATTGTTAATGTCTTATATTATGCTTTATTAGTTTATATACATTTAATGCAGGTCAAATTAATTAATTATTATATTATTGTTGAAATTATATTTCACGGTGGGCGGTATGTCAGATATGAACTATGTGATATAATTATATATAATATTGTCGATGTGCATATCTACAAACCGGTCTCGCCAGCACTAGTCTCTATACATTGTTATCATGTTGCATGTTTAGTAGTTAGTTGCGTTTTCTCCGTCGTCGGCGAGTGACATAAAAAATAAAGTGATATACAGTCCACACACACACAAATATGATGTTATGATTTTTAATGTAAATATTTTCGAGAGAGAAAAATTCCCTTTTCCTCATCCATCAACAGATTTTAAATTCAATTCATGTTTATTCTATATTCTATATACAATTGTTTAGCATCCGAGCATCGTCAGTAGCTGTTCAAACACTGAAGTCGTGGTCTGACGACACACCCAGAAAACAATCATTGAAATCAAAGTACAAACTTGAAAAGAAGGCAAGGATTGAAGCACAAAAAACTGTTGCCACTTTGAGTCAAAAGTTGGTAGACATAAACAATGAGGAAAACTACATGCAGCAATGCGAAAAATTTTTATCTCCAAGCTTGTTAACCATTGTTAAATCACATATTCATTGTCAGAAAAAACGCCCAAATGGTTACAGGTACTCAGATGAATTAAAACAACAGAACTTTTGACTGAAAGAAATCGTACAAATAGAAAACTCACAATTTTAAAACATTTGTAACATTACCTTGTACATTAAAATAAATATCTGTTGAAACATCATTTTTCTCTATTTTTTATACCTAATTACATATTATTATTGTCCTAATTTAAGTAATATTTATTATACTAACGGAAATGTTATATTAAAAAACAAAAGTTTTTGATCAGCATAAATAGACAAAAATTGAAAAATAGATATAATATATTAAATAATATATTAATATTATTATATTTAAATTAAATTGTATTACAATTGAATAATATACCAGATACCAGGTACTATTTAATTAAAAATAAGCCAAAATTGCATTTTAACTTGAACCGTATCATCTTGTGATTAAGTTTCATTATATATTTACACAATATATTTGTAAATATGTTATTCCCATTGTGTGGACAGACTGATTCATAAACAAGAATATGGCCGCCACCTTTTTGTGTGATAAGTATGATTACCATGTTAAAATATTTAAGTGTCCACCCCTTGGTAGCGACGAGTGCCGCTAACAAGGCATCACTGTAAATTATTTCTTATTGGTGGTGTCACTGCTGGATCTCTGGTATATTCTGGTACGAGTTGTGGTATATCAAGATATCATCAAAATCGGAAAATCTGTACCCGTCCCTATTTTTCATTGCTTTATATCATTTTAATTTTTCTCAATTACATTTTCAAATTTTTGATTTGGTGCTTTCCCTATTTTACTCTCATCTATTCAGATTTAATTTCTCACTTTTTCAATAATACCGATTGCATCAGCCAACAATAATCCAAATGTTTCTAAAGCTGTTATATATTTCGGTAAATTACAATAGTTTGCTTTTATCAACACTAGATTTTATTCCAAACTATTATCGACCAATGTACATTGTACATTTAATGTAGATTTTTGAAACTTGTATAATTGAAAACAACAAATATGTATGAATGACTTAAAAACGTGAAAATGCACTAAAAATGTCAAAAAATGCCCCAAGGAGCAAACAAGTCTAAAAAATACAAAATAAAAGTTACACTTTTTAATTCCTTGATATATGAAATGAACTTTGTGCTTAGAAATCAATGTTTTCGGATATTCTGAATAAAATGCAATTTTCATTCAAATCCGTTCCCTAATCATGACCAACCTGCTCTTCCTACATTTTGATTCATTGTCTGGAAAAAAATTGTTTGGATAACCTTGTTAGAGATATTTATTTGCTGTCGTATGTTTTTAAGCTGAACTTAAAAAAACACACACATTGTATAAAAAATTATTCAATGATGCAATTTGGCTAAAAGGAAAAGATAAATTGGGGAAGAGCATGACATAATTATTTTCATTCAAAATAGTATGGTCATTCTGTTAGGGTTAGTTTAAAATTCTCACTTTATTGTAATCTTTATAGATTTCAACGCCAGACAGTGTTATATCATAAATCCAATTAATACATAATATGACACAGAGAGTCAAATATCAAAAATTCGTTTCAATAGAGTATTTGAAATATTGAAATCAAATTTTATCTACGGTAATAGCACACAACAATGTTCATCGATAATACCGATTGCACGCCCCTTGGAAAAAGTTCCTAAACAAAAAGTTGCATTTAATTGTTCATGTTATATATTATTATGCATTTAAAATTATGGACAGTTTTCAGTTCACTTTAGAGTTTGATCCTAACATACACAAAGAATATTTAAAGAAATATCTTTATGAAAATTCTGAAAATATGATAAACATATGCTCCTACTGCAACTGGCACTCAGATAAGCACTGCACGATGAATATGTAGAATGGGTGTAGTGTTTTCTATGTTGTTGCTGGATAGCCATTAATTGCATTCCTAAAAAAGACAGAATTGTTAATTACGCAATCAATGATTTCTTCGGTTTGTTGTGTTAGTAATGATGAAATTAAAATATATTATGTACATATCATACTTTAGAGTTAAAACTCTACATATTTTGCACATCAAAATTATGACTAAGTTACCTACTTAAGTTGGTAATTTTCATTTCATTAGAGTTAAATCATTAAGCAGTTAAAAACATTTTAAAAACAATACCTAAGTGATTATAAGATAAATTATGACAATGACAAATATCAGGTACAGTATTGTCTCAAGGCAAAGCTGGGCAGTAACTAGTTAAAAAGTTTAAAGTCAAATTAAAAGTTACTTTTTTGATAACTTTTAACTTAACTAGTTAAAAAAAATAACAACTTAGATAGTAACCACGTTATTTTTTTTTATAAATAATTGTAATTATTAACTTAGTTATTTTGTTAAAACTTAAAGTATTTGTAAAAAGTTATTTATGAGTTTTCTTTTTATGAACTGTGCCTATATTATTTGCATTAATATTTCTGAGAATTTTCAGGACGGAGGAATGTCTACGGACGAGCAGGAAGGAATGTCACTATAATGGATTGTGTTAAATTTAAATTAAATTATATAATATCATTGTATAAGAAAAACGATGCTGAACAAAGATGGTCAGTCAGCATATGATATTACTAAGTATATATTTTGATGATATTATTGTGAATAAAACAATTTATATTATACTTCCTATTTAAGTGGAACATTGTTTTAAATTTTCAATCCTAAGCTATAAAAGTTGAAAATTTAATAAATTTCCAACTACAAAATAATTTATACATATTCAATTTGATACATTTTGCCAACATTTGAAAGCTTAGGGGGATATTGGTTGGAGTGACTTAGGGGCTTAAGCCTCCCTAGAATTTAATATTGGTTCACAAAAATTGTTTGTCTTATAATTTCAGCTAGTTCGTTATTATAATATATACAAGAATTTAATATAATAGTAAATGGTTTAGGTTAATGCATTTTTTTTATGTATGAGTATTATACCTGTAATTGGTAGTTGCATGATAATTATTTAAATAATTAATCATTTATATTTATATTTATTTATGTATAATAAACGGATATTAAACCCTTTAGCATTTAGAATAATTATAAGTACAGTTCAGCTTATCTTATAACAGAATTTGGATGTAGCAAAGAAGTAAAAATTAGTACCAGTGGTAGTGGTTTACAGCTAAATAAATAATAAATATATAGTAGGTACAGTAAAAATTATTAAATAACAATAAATGGTTACAAAAACAATAAGAATAAAATAATAAAAATAATAATAATTAAACAAGAGTATTTAAATTTAAAGCCAAATAAACATTCTGTCTGAAATCTGAATACAAATCGCGACATAACAAAAAAATCAACATGATAAATATTGTACTGTTAGCCAAAGGTAGAGCTCTGGGGAAAAACAAGGTGGAAGTATAATTATTTTTGAAAGGGAGACATGAAAAAAATTGGATTTTCTTAATACATAAATTGGTACATTAAAATCAATGTGAGACAATAATTCCGGAGAATAAATAAGACAATAAGTCATTGAACAACATAATATCAGAAATATTTCTCCTCAAATCACAAAACACGATCCCCAATTGAAAAATCTGCAATTTATATAATTCCCTTGTGATAAGTATATTTAATTTAAAGCATAATAGTTATAGAAACTTATACTGAATGTTTTCAATTAGACTGGTATATGAAAAATAGTGGGGTGACCAGACAATTGATCCAAACTCAAGATGAGACCTAACCAGGAAAAAATATAAAGTTTTTAAGGCATTGGTAATTTTAAAATTTATCGTACTTCTATTAATAAAACCAAGCATCTTAAAATCTTTTTCAATAAAGGTGTTAATATGGAAGGAAAAATCCATATTAAAATTAAAGATAATCCTTAAGCCTCTGATGGAAGAAACTCTTGTAACTATACAACTATCAATCAAATAATTATAGGTTAAGTTTACTAAATTAAGTTTTTAATTGTAACGAAACTAATTTAATGCACTAAAGAACCTTAAAAATGTCCAAAAAAATGCAGTATAAAATGCCAAAAATCATAATTTAAAATTAATTTAAAGTGGTTTTTAATTTAATTTTTATATTTATATTAATATTAGGTACAGGATATTATACATTGTATATTACATGCATAAAAAAGTGTTTATTTAATAAAAATGTTAATTGAATTTAAATTTTCTAGACTT